AGGTGGGGATGTTAGGTGGGGATGATAGGTGGGGATGTTAGGTGGGGATGTTAGGTGGGGATGTTAGGTGGGGATGTTATGATGTTAGATGGAGATATTAGGTGGGGATATCAATTGGGTATGTTAGGGTAGATGCTGGGATTTTAGATGGGGATGATAAGATGTTAAGTGGAGATGTTTTGTGGGGATGTTAGGTGAGGGTGTTAGATGGGAATGTTGTGATGTTAGGTGGGGATGTTAGGTGGGGATGTTGTGATGTTAAGTGGGGATGTTAAGTGGAGATGTTAGATGGGGATGTTAGGTGGGGATGCTAGGGGGGATGTTGTGATGTTAAGTGGGGATGTTAAGTGGGGATGTTAAGTGGGGATGTTGTAATGTTAGGTGAGGATGTAAGGTGGGGATGTTAGGTGGGGATGTTAGGTTGGGATGTTAGGTGGGGATGTAAGGTGGGGATGTAAGGTGGGGATGTTAGGTGAGGATGTTAGGTGAGGATGTTAGTTGGGGATGTAAGGTGGGGATGTTAGGTTGGGATGTTAGGTTGGGATGTAAGGTGGAGATGTAAGGTGGGGATGTTAGGTTGGGATGTTAGGTTGGGATGTAAGGTGGCAATGTTAGGTGGGGATGTTAGGTTGGGATGTTAGGTTGGGATGTTAGGTGAGGATGTTAGGTGTGGATGTAAGGTGGGGATGTTAGGTTGGGATGTTAGGTTGGGATGTAAGGTGGGGATGTAAGGTGGGGATGTTAGGTTGGGATGTAAGGTGGCAATGTTAGGTGGGGATGTTAGGTTGGGATGTTAGGTGGGGATGTTAGGTGGGGATGTAAGGTGGAGATGTTAGGTGGGGATGTTAAGTGGGGATGTTATGTGAGGATGTTAGGTGGGGATGTAAGGTGGGGATGTTAGGTGGGGATGTTAGGTTGGGTTGTTAGGTGGGGATGTAAGGTGGGGATGTAAGGTTGGGATGTTAGGTTGGGATGTAAGGTGGGGATGTTAGGTGGGGATGTTAGGTGGGGATGTTAGGTGGGGATGTTAGGTGGGGATGTTGTGATGTTAAGTGGGGATGTTAGGTGGGGATATTAGGTGGGGATGTTAGGGGGGATGTTGTGATGTTAAGTGGGGATGTTAAGTGGAGATGTTAGGTGGGGATGTTAGGTGGAGATGTTAGGTGGGGATGTTAGGTGGGGATATTGGGTGGGGATGTTAGGTGGGGATGTTAGGGGGGATGTTGTGATGTTAAGTGGGGATGTTAGATGGAGATGTTAGGTGGAGATGTTAGGTGGAGATGTTAGGTGGGGATGTTAGGTGGGGATGTTAGGTTGGGATGTTAGGTTGGGATGTTAGGTTGGGATGTTAGGTTGGGATGTTAGGTGGGGATGTAAGGTTGGGATGTTAGGTTGGGATGTAAGGTGGGGATGTTAGGTGGGGATGTTAGGTGGGGATGTTAGGTGGGGATGTTAGGGGGGATGTTGTGATGTTAAGTGGGGATGTTAGGTGGGGATGTTAGGTGGAGATGTTAGGTGGGGATGTTGTGATGTTCGGTGGGGATATTAGGTGGGGATGTTAGGGGGGATGTTGTGATGTTAAGTGGGGATGATAAGTGAAGATGTTAGGTGGGGATGTTAGGTGGGGATGTAAGGTGGGGATGTTAGGTGGGGATGTTAGGTGGGAATGTTAGGTGGGGATGTTAAGTGGGGATGTTAAGTGGGGATGTTAGGTGGGGATGTTAGGGGGATGTTAAGTGGGGAAGTTAGGTGAGGATGTTAGGTTGGGATGTTTTGTGAGGATGTTACATGGGGATGTTAGGTGGGGATGTTAGGTGAGGATGTTAGGTGGAGTGTTGTGATGTTAGGTGGGGATGTTAAGGGGAATGTTAGGTGAGGATGTGAGCCGGGGATGTTAGGTGGGGATGTTAGGTGGGGATGTTAGATTGGGATGTTAGTTGAGAAATTGAAGTTTGGAATATTAGATGGGATTTAACTGAATATATTATCTTAGTAAGTTAGTTGGGAATGTTATCTAGGAATGTTAACTGGGAATGTTAGCCGTCAATTTGTGATGAGAATGAAATGATAACTGGGATTGATAGCTAGGAATGGTTTGTTTTTAAAAAAATATTTTTAAAGTAATGTTAGTTGAGAGTATTAGCTGGGAGTGTAAGCTAAAAATTGTAGCTCAGAAAGGTTTTTGGAATGTTAGCTGGGAATATAAGCTAAGGACGGTATATTAGTTGGCAATGGAACGCAAGCCGGAAATGTAATTCAAGCTTGAAATGGAATGTTAGCTGGGAATGGAGTGTTAGCTGGGAATTTTAACTAAGTGTGTGAGTTGAAAATGTTAACCGGAAATGTTTAAAGACATTATCATTCTTAAGTTTTTTTTAATTTTCTTGGAGGTAAAAGAGATTTTATGTATTATCTTTTATATAAAAGGTGCACTTAAAAAATCCATAATAACTAAAGCCTTGCACCAGATAACACTAAAATAGGTCTCTTCTTTAAATCAATGAAACAGCATAAAAACAGAACACATGTACCCCCCCCCCCCCACCCCTCTAAGCACAAGCAGACGACATAATGACGGGATTTTGCCCCAAGTCTTAGAGAAAAAAATCGACTTTAAACCTGGGATACATCTCCGGCTTCTGTTGGCCGAGAGTTGCGGACGATCACATTTCCGATTCCGGTAGGAACTCGAGCGGAAAACACTATCATCCAATCCGGAAAACAACAAAACTGAGTTGAAATTATCTTGATCTTTTTTTTTTTAAATAAGAACATGTGTTTCTATTCTAGAGAGAGATGTGCAAAATGAAATTTATTTGCAATTTTAAAGTAAGTTTTGGCAGTCTCTTTAGGAAATAAGTTACAGATTCTGTTTACTCGTTATATATCTTTCTTTAATTCTCATTCTTTCTAGCTTTCTGTATAATTTACGGAATTAAGTTCTGAATGATATTTTGTCTCAAACAATGTGTTATTATATTGCTTTTCGCACACTTAAAGCATAAATCGAAGGAAAGTTTCGTTAATTTTTCATGGTCAAAATATATATTGGTACTTACAAGTACCGTCATTCTCATTCTTTCTAGCTTTCTATATAATGAAAAAAAATATTTAAAAATGCATACACAAATACACACATCGTACACAAAAATAAGGGACAGCATGGTCGAATGGAAGAGCATTTGGTTTCTAGCCCGAATGTCTCGAGTTCGGATCTTGGTTCAGACTTTGTAGGTTGTAGGACGTCTCTGAGTCCACCCAGCTCTGATGGGTATCTTACTTAAGTTGGGGAAAGTAAAGGCGGCTTGGCATATTGCTGACCACACCACATGCCGAGGCCAAGAATAATATGAACTCTACTTCACCTGTTGAATGGCCCGCTCGTTATAAAGAGGAATCTTTTTATACACAAAGATGCACACGCACACATTGTAACGAGTTCTTACTTGTTTTTCTTATTTAAAACGGGCAAATGAAAAAGTTTTAAAATATTTTTAATTTACAAAAATGTGTCATTGCTTTTCAGTTTCAGTAATAACTAACTCTCAGTTACAATGAAAGAGGGTTTCATGAGTTCCACTACAAAACTCATTCCCAATCCCGTTTCATAATGAGGCAGATGGCAATAACTCGACTGAATCGACACAGCTATTTTGCCAACGACGTTTGAAATCTAGACGAGACCTTATACACATGAGAAAACGACCACTGTGTACGATAACAGGACAGACCTCCTCCTCTCGTTAATGCCACACAATCTCTTCAACGCTATAAGAAGAAGACTGCTCTATTCTTTCCCAGAAAAAAATAGTCCTACACCGAAATTTTAAATGCTTTCATACAGCATCACAAAGTCAAGATCTTTAATTATTACACAATCCTTATACACATATCCTCGTAACCTTACCATATGTAATATTCACTTCACAACATTGCGGTTAAATGTAAATAACATATTATTTTTGTGTAACAAATAAAACTAGATGCGTAGTACTGCCATATATAAAATAAACCGGTAGTGATCTCCCCTAAACTTTCTCGAATATTCTTATATAAAACAACAGGGGATGGTAACTCGGGCTATAGACATGATTTTAATCCATTTTAAATACTTAAACTTTTAAAAATAGAATAGAATCTCATAAAAAAAAACATTGCGCACCAAGCAAACGCCGAATAAAAACGCGTATAATAGTGCGCAATATTATTAGTACTTTAAAAATTTACATTAGTTTTTTGAGAAATCGGAAGTAGCGTAAATTACTACTTCCAGTCAACGGAAATTACTCAAAATTTAACAGAAGGTAGAGAATTAGATCTTTTACTTACATGTGAAATTTCATTTATCTATCTGAAATAGTACTCAAGTTATAGGCTTTTGAAAAATTCAAAGTAGAAAAAGTACCACTTCCGGTTATCCGAAATCGCTCAAAAGTTGATACGGATCTACGATTTTGATAAAATACTTGTATATGAAATTTCATCAATCTAGCTGTAACGGTACTCAAGTTATCGTGTTTACACACGGACACACACACACACAGACACACACACAGACACACAGACATACGGACAAGATTGCAAAATTATGTTTTTCCGTATCAGTGAGATGTAAAACGTCGAGATTTGCAAAAATCTCGATTTTTTTTTTTTGCACGATTACAAGACTTTCTCTATACTTCGTATATACGAGAAAGTAAAAACAACAACAACGCAGCAATTCTGTAAAATGTTAATTTTAATCTCTAAGATGGGTTTTGTAATCCTTTTCGAAACCCCTGCTAAAATAAATATACAAGTTGACTCCCTGCTAGCATTTTACTATTGAATTCTCCAAAAATAATTTTGCCTTTTTAAAAAAAAAATTTTTTTGAATTTTCTAATTTTTTATTAAGAGAGAAATTTTTTTTGTTTAAAATAAAAATCAGGTTAGCCTTATAGCCAAATCAATAAAAAAACAATTCTATTCTAAAAAAATCTTTTTATAATTTAGACTAATGATGGAGGCGACCAGTTCCAACAGTGTGGAGGAATGGCTCGATTCACACCCTGAGGATATGCAGGACTACTTTCTCAAACACGCTGACGTCACGCTTATAAATAGATGGCTGGCGGCGCATGGATACAACCATCTTCCGGAGTTCAGCGCCCCACTCCGCAACAGTTCACTTACAAATTTGAGGTAAAATTGAAAACTAATATCATTTTAGTTTCATTGTTGTTTATTTTTAGTACGTCGGACTATTTAAATTGGGGTGACTAAACTAGGGGTTGTTGGGTGAATAAACTAAGGTATAATGGTGACTAAAATACGGCTTAGTGATGATTAAACTAGGTTTTAGTAGTAACCAAATTATCCCACCAATAGTCTATGTTTATGGAATATTTTACTTCTATTTTTTTTTCAATTTTAATCAAGTAAATCAACTACACACACACACACATACACACACGCACACCCACACACACAGAAGTAGCAAAGTGGTAGCCTTAAAGCTAGGCGCCTTCACGTTCACTATATTTTTACAAGCTTTTATTATTAGGCTAATTAAAGTTGAATTAAATATCCTTCGGATAGCTTATTTTATTTTATTTTTTTTCTCTACTAATTTCCTTTTAAAATATAATCTGTTAAAAGTTGAACTACATTATAAACATTTTCATTGAATCAAGTCGGGCTAATTTAACGTAAAATCTTCACACTTAGCATAAAGCTGTTTCCATCTTTTATTATTCAGTTCTTAAATGTGCAACAGACAGCATTAGCCCCATTTCTTTTAGGGAATTCTCTTGTTGTCCCCCTTTATGTTGGTCTGTTTATAAATATTGAAGTAGACCTTTCCACACTTTACACATTCACGGCCAGAATTTGGGCCTTGTTTTTTCCCCAACACAAGCTAACACTGCATAATTTCAGCCAAAACATTAAAAACGAGGCTATGAAACTAAAATATCTTCCCTAATACATTATCTCAGCCAAAACAATCTTTGTGTTGGTGTTATATTCGTGTTTTATCCCTAATACAATATCTTTTAAACCAAAACCCCATACATTTTCTGAAATGTACATTTATATATCAATTCTGACACTAAAAGCACATGATATCACTTTAAAGTCTTGTGATACCAACGAAACTAAAACACTATATCAACACTATAATGATCATGTATCACAAATATAAACAGGTACGCTTATCAGCACGAATCATATTTGCCACTAATTTATTGTAAATTTATCTCCATAAGCTACTCCATTTATTGCAATTGTGTTCTGAAACTATATTTTGTTTTGCACTAGAGAATCATTTAGGCAAATGAATAATGATTCAGTCATAGATCTATATCTTTAATAAATCAACCTGCTCCAAAAAAAATTGATCAATTTCTTTTAGAAAAGCAATATCTCCAAATAAAACAAAGATGCTTTTTAAAATCAGGAATCAATAGTGTTTTTTTCTTCTGCTACTCTGAATTAACAAATTCCCCCATTGAATTAACCGTGTTTTACCATTACAGCAGTACTCACATTTTACATTAAAACCATCACATAACGCCCATTTGAACTTCAATCTGCATTATAGACTCGTAGTTGTCATTTGAGAAACCTTGTCATAATTTACCTCTAAAAGTCCAATCAAATCCTCAACAAAAACAATCCACAATCTCACAAGATGCAATCACACCTCCCCACACAAACAATCCACCCTCACACAATCCATTCAAACCTCCTCACACAAACAATGCACCCTCACACAATCCAATCACACCTCCCCACATAAACAATCCACCCTCACACAATCCACTCTCCACCCCTCCACCGAACAATACCTTGTTTCATATTCATAATTCCCTAACGCGTCTCAACAGCCCATAACACTGTGGCATTTATTTATAATTTAACGAAACGCCATTGCGCAGTGGGCAAACGAGTTTTCAACGCGATCGAGCGGGAAGATTATGCCTTTATGATCGAATCCTTTTGGAGAAGATCCAATTCATTGATTTTTTGGCGAATTTATTGCGTAATTAGCTATAGGGTCCTTTGTTGTTTTTATCAAAGAGATTTTTGACACTCGCCTACTTAATATATTTAGTATCACTGCTATTACATAAAAAACTAAAAAGCAAGTTAAATTTTATATGTCGTTCAGATAGGTTGGCTTGATGTTTAAGTGACATAGAGATGTGAGATGTTTGGTGTACAGGTTCGAAATATATTTCTTGCCTTTGAGGATATTGAGAAAAATATAAGAACAATGTTAAAAATACCAAACTGAGAGATCTAAACCATTTGAAAAAGAGATACTGGAATAACATTGAATGAACTAAAGATAATATCAGCAAATCTATTGCGTTTGAATAATGTGATATTTAGCTTTGGCTGACTAGGGCGAGAGTAGATAGGAAATAGGAAATAATTACATTAAGAATACTTTAGATATCTACCTGATACTGGAGTACGTAATGAAGTCTTGATTTTATAAGTTCGCAACAAAAAAAAAAAAAAAAAAAAAAAAAAAAAAAATTAAAAATAAAGTTCCCATTTCGTACCCGAAAGTCCATCGGATAAGTGAAGTAGAGTTCACCTGTTTCTGTGACCTCTGCATATAAAGTCATAGTGTGATCAGCTACCTTTACTTTCCATAAAATCAAAGCTAGATGGACACAGAGACGTTTTTATGACTTGAACCCAGATCGGAACAACTACACAAATAACTAAGAAAGATATAACGCATTCGATATCGCATCTTAGAAACCATTCATCTACAAGTACCAGTAGATTTCTAGTTGTTCTGTCACGTGGTGCTAAATACGTGAGGTCACTTGATTTCGCTACTCTGATAAAACCCCGGGGATGGAGCCGTGTGTCCAGTAGTTCTTAAGGGGGATCAGCCTCCCCCACCCCGCTCCCTACCAACTGATGCTCGTGAATCAAGCTTTTGTCAGCCGTATTTGACCTACATGCTATTCTTAGAAACAAAAACTGTTGGAATAGGCACGAATCTAATCAATAGCTTTAGTGTATTTAAAAAAAAAAACAAACCTTCCTCCCCTCACCCCTCCCCATTTGACTTTGTATGAGCTATTTCAAACGGCAACACATTTTTATTTCAGTTCTTGTAAAAGCCGAGACAAAAAAAAATCGTGGGTCAATGTCCGAGCAGACTAACTTTCTATTTGAATTGTTTCAATTTAAACATGCAGGATAGACACATGTGAGTTTGTCTCAATAGGCGTAGTGAAAATAAACTTAAAACTCACATTTTGAACATGGGAGTCTGAGTTTAGGGGTGTGGGTATTGGGGTGTGGGTATAGGGGTGTGGTGATAGGGGTGTGGGTATAGGGGTGTGGGTATAGGGGTGTGGGTATAGGGGTGTGGGTATAGGGGTGTGGGGATAGGGGTGTGGGTATAGGGGTGTGGGTATAGGGGTGTGGGTATAGGGGTGTGGGTATAGGGGTGTGGGGAAAGGGGTGTGGGTATAGGGGTGTGGGTATAGGGGTGTGGGTATAGGGGTGTGGGTATAGGGGTGTGAGTATAGGGGTGTGGGGAAAGGGGTGTGGGGATAGGGGTGTGGGTATAGGGGTGTGGGTATAGGGGTGTGGGTATAGGGGTGTGGGTATAGGGGTGTGGGTATAGGGGTGTGGGTATAGGGGTGTGGGTATATGGGTGTGGGTATAGGAGTGTGGGTATAGGGGTGTGGGTATAGGGGTGTGGGTATAGGGGTGTGGGTATAGGGGTGTGAGTATAGGGGTGTGGGTATAGGGGTGTAGGTATAGTATGTGGGATAATGGGTGTAGGCTAAGAATAGACAGGTGTGGGAAGTGAATAACAAATATGCTACGCGCGACTGATTAGGTTCCATAATTAATCGTAAGATAAAAACTGAAAGTCAACATAAAAATGCACTTTACCAATTCACAAACTGGCTAATCTACATTAAAGTTAAAATTTCCACCCAAACGCCCCATACATTACTGCAAGAAGGCTGCAAATAACATGCTTTTATAGCTCAATTTTATAAACCGAACTAGATTTATGTTATTTTCTCTTTTTTTTTCTCAAGACACATAGGGCCGCGAACTAGATAACCTAATCGTAAACATTAACTTGCATACTTTCATAATTCATGTCCTCATTTATAGCCAATATAACAATTTTTATGAGTTATTTTTTTTATTAATCACCGTCTCCATAGCAACGACAGCAGCAACCCCTCGTCACCTGTGGACACTCGCTGTAACGACTCGGGATTCTTCGACTCCTCCCGGCACCAGAGATCCAACTCCAAGAAACACCTGCGACACGACTACGCCCGCTCCAAGAAGAGAAACATCTTCCGGACATACGAGCCCAACGGGGGCGACTCCACGCTGGAGAGTAGACGGAACAGCCTGAAGGAGATGAGGCAGTTCCGTTCACTCCCGCCGACTTCGGTCAATCTTTTAAGCATGCTGATACAGTCCAAGGTAATATTATTTTTTTTGTATGTTTAGAAGTTAATTCTATATTGGTCACTGACATTAGAGACTCGTGAAAGGTTCACAGGCATGAGCAAGTAGTTTGCACTTTGATCCACCCATAGTCTGTTTAATTACTTTGATGTCAACTTCAAGGTATCTTTCAGATATTCTTTGCAGGGGTAATGATTCATAAAACCTATTATAATTTCCAAAAGGAGGAGGGCGAATCTCAGTTAAAATATATAGTTTCTCTTTAAATAATGCAGGGGTCTCCAAACTACGGCCCGCGGGCCGGATGCGGCCCGCGAAGTCCTCGCATCCGGCCCGCGGAGATCTTTTTGTCTAAGGAAAAATCGTTAGTTGGTAATGGCTTAGGAACTTTGCCCAGAAAAATCAAAGACATTCCTGGAAGAAACTGGCCCCCGAACTGAAATTTGATAGTTAATGCGGCCCTCGGACTGAAAAGTTTGGAGACCCCTGAAATAATGTTTTTTTTAAATTTACAATTTTGTCTGAGGGGGCTGTGGACGCGATCAGGCCTGAGGGGGGGGGGGGGGTCAATGCAATTCCCTAAGAGATGCTTGAAAGAAACTATGGTAAACTTCGTCTTCCCTAGTAACAGCCTGGTAAGAAATGGTATTTAACGTTTAAGTCGAAGCTTATCAAAACCTTCCTACAAGGCGTTGAAGGGACGTTTTGTGAGTTATGGCGTTTTCTTTTCCAATGAATAATTACTTTAGTAGTCTGCATACAAATAAATACACAATTATCGTATCATGTTTTATTGTCAAAACAGTATAAAAATGAAAAACAAATAACATGTTTACCCTGGCACCTAGGTAAAAAGTAATTATTTCTTCTCATTGCTTCCCCTTAATGAATCCTCTTTCAAAGTACAGTGTAACTTTGCAGGGGTAGGATTTGCAGTTAAGTATCACTATCTTTACAATTATTTACTTTGGACAAGAATTTATTTGGTTTAATACCATGCGCATAAAGAAGATGTAGATGTAATAAATTAATTTAAAGAATTTTTCTTTTCGGTTCAACAAAGTCAAGCAATGTATGGAATTTCACAGAAATTTATATCGTAGTTTTTAGGTTGCTTTTAATTGAATATTGATCTTGCAAAAAAATAGCTTCATATTTAATTTGTTTTAAATAACGCACTCTAGTGGGGTAACTGTATATATGTGTGTGTATATGTGAAGGGGGTGTATGCATTTAGGAACAAATACTGGGGGTAATTGAATTGATCACTTATTATTTAAACTGTAGATTTTGTTTTTCTTGGTTAATTGGTCAATTTTCTAATTTATTGTTTAAAATATACATCTTTTTACCACACGGATCAACCTATCGTATTACGATCCATGACACCCCCCCCCTCCCCCACCTCGCTTCCCCCTAAAAATGATCTAAATTTAGCTTCAACCTATCCACTCGACCCCCCCCCCCCCAAGCTAAGTAAACACATTCAACAAAAGTGTAAGAAAGCAGGGGCGATAAACTATATTCAGGGGCGTTAATCCATATCAAACCGTTTTTCTCAGATTGATTTTTATCACGGTTATAGTTAGAGTACAAAGTGTTTAGATAAAAATAGCATAAACTTCACGCCGCTATTGACTTCGTTAATGGGGAAGTTGAGAAAATATTTGTAAGGGGAAAATACTTTGAACGAAACGGGAATTCCCCTTTTACGAGTGTGAATGAATGTTGTTGAGACTGAATGCTACGTCAATTGTTATGATTGTTTGATTGTTGACGCTTTGTCGTTACCCTGGGGGGGGGGGGGATGATTAGTCTCGCGAAAATTCTTTTAATAGGGGCTGATTAGTGTCACGAAAATCCTTTTCATAACGAGATTTTAAAAGGAATAGCGAGATTTCTCCTTATGAGTGCTTTACAATTACATTTACAAAACTGGGGTTTGAAATTTGAAAGTAAAGGTATTTGATAGATGGGTTAGGGTTTATTGTGGTCAAAAACACTCCTAAGTAAAACTACGTTCCGTGTGGTCGGATGGTAGAGCGCTCGGCTGCTGACTTGAATGTCTCGAGTTCGGATCTTCACAACGAGTATGAAGGATCTCTCTGAGACCACTCAGCTGTGATGGGTACCTGTTCGGGAAAGTAAAGGCAGTTAGGCATAGTGCTAAGCACCCCTTCATATTAACAAGTCAAAACATATATGAACTCTACTTCATATGCCCTTCGGATTATAATATCGGAAAGGGAAAAATTTTCCCCTACTTAAAGTTAACTAACAACTTGCCTGTTCTTATAAGCAGTATTGTTTACAAATTACCAAGGTATAATTGCCATTAAACTGTCAAGCGACCTACGAAATGTTGTAAATATCTTCTGGTTGTAAAGAGTACAAGCGTCTAGTATATTATACCGTGTACTACCCTCCTCTCAGGTAAAGCGCACGACGTATTTGCACAGTTTATCTGAAAGCTGTTGATTATTTATAGCACGCAGTTTCTCTACACTTTTCAGTGTGTTCGGCTATCTTTAGACCTGCCGCCATCAGACATACATAATTGTTTTTATTTTTATAACAAAAAATACATGTAGATCTATATAACTAAAAAGGTTTAACAAATTATTACAAAAAAAACATCTGATCTTAATTTGTATTAAACATTATCGATCATTTTCTCGTATTTTTTTTCAAGGCCTATTTTAGGATTCTGCCAAGTGAAGTAGACTAGTTCATTGTATAAAATTATTTATTAACTTAATTGCTTTATTTTGTATGTACTACTTTCTGCTATAATCCTCATCCGTTTTCTTACGTTTGTGGACAATTTTATTTTTATAAATATCGTTCTCAGACGTGTATATCGTACTGCCTTTCACAAATGATCAAATGACTTATAGGCTGGTGCGCAACACTTATTTACAGAATGTAGAACCTATCATATTTTTTTCGCCGTCCTTAAAGAAGGTGAAGTAGTTTAACTTAAAGATGATGACGTAGGTTAACTTAAAGATGATGACGTAGGTTAACTTAAAGATGATGACGTAGTTTAACTTAAAGATGATGACGTAGGTTAACTTAAAGATGATGACGTAGGTTAACTTAAAGATGATGACGTAGGTTAACTTAAAGATGATGATGTAGGTTAACTTAAAGATGATGTCGTAGGTTAACTTAAAGATGATGTCGTAGTTTAACTTAAAGATGATGACGTAGGTTAACTTAAAGATGAATTCGTAGTTTAACTTAAAGATGATGACGTAGGTTAACTTAAAGATGATGACGTACGGCTTCCTGTATCATAAAGATGACGCAGTTTAATCTAATTAGAGATTATGACGTTGGCTTAACCAAATGAAGAGGATGACGCCGATTAAAATAAAATATAACGATGACGTCTATTTGACTTTATGAAGATGACACATCTTAATCTAAATGAAGACGACATTGATTTATCTAAATGAATATGATGATGCATTTATTAAAGTGGAGACAGGGGCGGAACTACAGTGCCGCCAGACCCCGCAATGCGGGGGGGCCTACGACGTTTAGGGGCCCAATTCTGACCAAAAAAACATGAATTTTCCTTTCATAAATAATGTTTTTCGTGCACATTGATAGTGGTTTTGTAAAAAAACAAAAACAGGTCTACTGTAGCAGTGATTGTTCTACAGTAACTAACACACACTGTTGCGTAGAAAAATAAACCGGTAGTGATCTCCCCTAAACTTTCTCGAATATTCTTATATAAAACAACAGGGGATGGTAACTGGGGATATAGTTATGATTTTTAATCCATTTTAAATACTTAAACTTTTAAAAATAGAATAGAATCTCTGTAAAAAACAATTGCGCACCAAGCGAACGCCTAATAAAGGTGTGTATAATAGTGCGCAATAGTATTAGTACTTAATAAATTTACATTAGTTTTTTGAGAAATCGGAAGTAGCGTAAATTACTACTTCCGGTCAACGGAAGCTACTCAAAATTTAACATAAGGTAGAGAATTAGATCTTATACTTACTTGTGGAATTTCATTTATCTATCTGAAATAGTACTCAAGTTATATGCTTTTGAAAAATTCAAAGTAGAAAAAGTACCACTTCCGGTTATTGGAAATCACTCAAAAGTTGATACGGATCTACGATTTTGATAAAATACTTATATATGAAATTTCATCAACCTAGCTGTAACGGTACTCAAGTTATCGTGTTTACACACGGACACACACACACACAGACACACAGACATACGGACAGAATTGCAAAGCCCAGTTTTTCAGACTGGATTACGCATAAAACCTCTTAGTTTTGATAAATCTGGATTGATAATTTTTGCCCGATTAAAATAAGTCCTCTAAACTTCGGATGTGATGAAGGACTGAGGTGTAATACGGTGAAAGATGTTAAAATTTCAAGTGATTTTTGTGCACGATTACAATACTTTCTCTATACTTCGTATATACGAGAAAGTAATAAAAAATCTACAAGAGCTCTACTTTGAAAGATAGGCAAACGTTCACAATACTTCCATGCCTTACTGCCCTTCATCAAAACACGGGTGCCCATAAAGCTCATTTAAATAGTTTTGTACTATGTAAATTAAAGAGCCATTTATTCTCTTAATTATCATTTAAATAAGACATATTAATGAATCCTATAGCTATAAAAATTAGTGTATTCAAAACTAATAATATAAATACAAAAAATCATAAAAATAAACATAACGCGAGAAACCATTTTAAAATCAAGCTTACGTGTTTATATAATTTTGACCAGCCGGCAATTTCGTCACTTTTTTGGTACACAAAGACGTAATACGAACATTTGTAAAACACGATTAATGCTGCGCTCGAAATGAGTTGGGACTTACTGTTGTCTGGTTCGTTATCTCCGAGTGGTTATACATCGAAATAAAATAGATTAAAATACTCAGGTAATAGACTATTTAAAATTTTGAGAAGAAGCGGGCTACTTATACATATGTATGTATGTATGTATATATATATATATATATAT